CACAGGGGCCTGGCGCGCTCCTAAGAAGGCTGGACAAGCACCAGAAGGCTCTGGGGCATCACAAACATCTGTGGAGGCATGCTGAGGGGACTGATGCGGTACCACAGAGAGTAGGGGGACGACCACCTGGTGCAGTGGGGTGTCTTAGGGTGCTGAAGTCCTGCAGAAGGGGCTGGGGTGCAATGAAGGCCTGAGGAGGGGTCCTGAGGGGACTAGAGCCATGCTGAGAGAGCCACAGGGCACATGGCGCAGTCCTGGGGTTGGACTGTGCCCAACAGCCCTCCACTGCCCCGCTGAAGGCCAAGGGTGGGCTCTGGTGCACAACGAGAACCAAGGGAGGGGCCCACAGGAGGGCACAAGGAGGGTAAGAGAGGGGTGCATTGGGGACCAGAGGCAAACTCAGGCGCCTGGAGCCCGTCAGAAGGCACACTTGGGGTGCTGAGAGGTTCCGAGGGGGAAAGCGTCTCAGGCTGAGGCAAGCCCAGGGACACAAAGGGGTTCAGAGGCAGCTGGTGGGTATGAGGAGGCCTGAGGGGACTGGAAGGGAAAACGAACAAGTCTGGAGGGGGTCCGATGGCAAAAAGGCAAGAGATCTGCCACAGTAAGCTTTCATACCACATGGTAGAACTTCTGTGTATATGTTCAAATACTCCCTCTCTCCTTCCCCTTGAGCTATGGTCCGTTCAGTGGGAGACTGGCCTCTAAATAATGGAGACCTTGACCGTGAAGGGTATCTTCTGTATGGGGGTGACCTTGGCCTTGAACGCTCATAACTGTGTGACCTTGACCGAGAATCATAGTTCCCTTGGCCTCTTCTTGGATACGGCGGCAATCGCCAGGAGGAACGAGACTGAGAACGACCACATGATCGAGAGCAGGAGCAAGAGCGGGCAGAACCTGATCTCAGCTTGGGGTAGGTCTGTGAACTTCTAGAGTAAGCTGAAGCATTACAGGGACACTTGCACCTTAGAAAAAGCACACAAAAACTCAATGAAGTTCATTCAAAACAGTCACTTTCCCCAATTTTTTTCCTCCCAAATATGGTTTGGGTTTCTTTTCCAACCTATATGCTCATGTCCAAGATTCTTTCGGTTGCTGACATAATGCTACTGCAAACCGAAGTACTTGGTGACATGTGCAAGGTTCCGCTCAGAAGGCAGAACAGCTGCTGCTTCGTTAGTGTAAAAACATGCAAGAAGGGTCAGTCTACTTCCACTCCCTTCTAGCACATGAACTACCACAGCTATTGATTGATTTAGGTGGTGTATACTGTCCCTACTGGTACATGAACACGCACATTTTTGACTACTCCACCACTACTCTCAGTGCAAATCATTTTCGTTGCAGGGAGATGCAAAAAGAGCAAGTCTGAATGGCTACAGTGCAGTATCAAATATCAGGAAAACACCATTTAACCGGGAGACAGTAAAGGTCCGTTTTAAAACGCCAGCTTAGTCTGTTGAACTTCACTACTTCTTTGGCAGCTTGGGCAGGATGCCAAGTA